GCGGCGTCCAGTGGCGGTATCTCGACAGCAGAAATCGACAGCCACGAACAACCCGAGCAGGAGTGACTTCCTGCAGCGATGCGGCGTGTTTCCCCGATGGCTTTCTTCTCCCCGACGCGAACGAACACACAAATGACTCCCTTGTTGCAGCGTAGCCTCCGACCTGCAACGACGCTCAATGAACGAAGCATACCTATGACGAGCACAATTCCCACAGCGCCAAACGTACCAAATCCACAACGTTGTATTCCTCGGCAGCATCTGCGAGCAGATTTGGCTAGATCCCAGCAGCACTGGCGTTCTACAGTGGTTGTGCGTGACCCTCGTTGCAGTGGCAACGCTCGTAGGTTAGGTGCTGCTGTCAATTTCATCGAATTTTATGGTTGCTGTAAATTTATGAATGACATTGTAAATGCTAGTGATTTTCTTCTTCTAGTTTCCTCTTATGAATAGTTTTTCTTTGACCACTTGGTGTAGCATTGATTCAAATTTCAGCTAGTGGTGGAAGATTGCAAGTTTTTACTTGCCAAATTTGAACACCATAGTAACCAAACCATGACGAAAGTTTAGAGGTATTTTTTGTGATTTAGCCTATATTTTATTTACCATATTTATCATTTTAATTGTATCTTCTTAATTTGCTATTTTGTTGCAAACATATGGGTAGGTTGATTTTGAAACGAGCATGAATCCTTGTTATATATTTCCTTTTGGTTTGTAATTGTGCATTAGCTAAGTTTTAGAGTGATTTTGTTGACCATGTTCACTGATTGGAATACTTTATTATTTGAATGGTAGATAATTGATGTAAAGTTTGTTAAGTGCATGAATCACACCATTAATTATTTGAATGGTAGATAATTGATGTAAAGTTTGATAAGTTCTCCAACAACCCAATATGCTCCAACATTAATCAATTATCATTGAAACTAATTTGATGTTAAACAATTTAACTCAAAGCTTTAAAGTAGTTGTCTATATGTTTGTGATTTTTTGCTGTTGCATTCTTCCGACTATTCTGTTAGACTTGCTAATTGTTGGAACTATTTGCTTGTTTATGGTTGTGATATTTGATGATTTGATCTCCAAATAGCTAACGATTTCAACTATTTTTCTTGTGTATAAGTGTAAAATGTTGGGCTTTAGCTAGATTTTTCTCGAGACCTTGTTTGTTAAAAATCTGGAATCAAAACTTATATTTATGTGTAATATTTTTCATTAAACTTAATTATAATTGAGTTTTTGTAGTTGTGGGGTATGCATTATATTGAGTTCCAGTTCTTCAATCTTGGAGTCTTTTCCTTTGACCTTGGTTCTTCGTTTAGCTCGTTATTTGTTTGTTTTGCTTTCTTATTCTAACTATCATCTTGCATCAGTCTTTGAAGTTAAAACGTTTAACTTAATGACTCATAGTTTTATATAAACCTTATTCCAACTATGTTCTTTCTATCAGTCTTGTTAGTCCTTACTGTCTGACCCATCTCCAGTATGAATAACTCTCTGAATACAAAGTTCATGATTTTACTAGTATTTCTGCTGCTCATAAATATTTGAATCAATTGCTTCCCAAATTTTATGAACCATGCTAAAATCAATAATTTAATGTGTTCTATTTTGTCATTTCATTGTTCATTCTTATACTTGTTATGTTTCTATTGATTGTCATGTTATCTTCATTACTATATATATATCCCTAGCTTAAGTACTCAGTCAATAGGTTTAGTTTAAAAAAACCACAGTGTAGCTCATGATTTCTTAATACATCACACATCAATGAAGCATTTGTCTACTTTTCATTTAACTAAGTTTGTGAGATAGATCTTGTCAGGTGATAATTGCAGTCATATTTGATCAACTTCAACCTGCTACAATTGCAACACTAAAATAAATATAACAAACCTTTAGTAAGTGAAAAATGTTAGAACAATTTTAGCAAGCAGAGAACGAAAGATTGTGAGCTAATAGATAAGGTGATGGACAAAGTAGGCAAGGGAAGGAGTTATCACCATGGTTTTGGGGTTGCAACTTCAAAATTTTTAGCTTGGTTCCAGGTAAACACCGAAGATTTGGCTTCGTAACTCAATGCATATGCGGTACTGTATTATTTAAAACTTTGTTTGGATGTTATTGTTTATGTCAAGTTTTTTGAGAAAGCTCATTTTCCTAAGTTGCTTATTATTGGTTTATATGACAGGAGCAATCTTCACACTAGAACAAGAAGTCGTAAGGATTTGAAATGCTTTGTCGAACTGCGTCCGGATGAGCTGAAGCATGTTGTGGCTGTTTCATTCAAAGTTCCATCATAACAAAAGTAAGCTATTTTAAGCTTTTTGTCATCATTCATACTATAGCATTTGAATATTAAATACTTATGGATTGAACTTATTATATGCTGGGACTATAGCTATATTATTAAGTACGTTTACAAGGAATACTGAATATTGATTATAGACGAGGAATGTACGTTTACAATTCCTCTGCTATACTAGCTAGTTTATGTTATATTGTTTAAGTTCATTTTGTGCTATGCTGCTGAAGGATATAGAAGAAGTGTTCGGTTATTTTTGTTATTGTAACCTCTTCTGTGATGTTGGAATTTTGTTTGATCATTTTGTTGGTTATCATATCATATTAATACTTTCCTTACAGGATGATTGTACTGATATTTTGTGCTACGTAATTTAAGGATGTAGAAAAAGTGTAGGCATGTCGTTTATTTGAATCGCGCTTCTTTTGTTTGGTTGTTATGTTGGTTGTTTTAYTATATTATCGAGTAAGTTAATAAGGAAGACTATGAATGTTGATGAGTAGGTTGGTTTTTGTTTAAATCATTTATCTAACTTGGGTATTGTTTTTTCATTAGGTCTTTCTTATCCCAAAGATGTCAACAATTAGGAATGCAACTAATCGGTGGCTGAGCATCATTGTTGAGGTTCGTGTGTAAGGAATATGTTTAATTCTGTAATTATGTAATTTGTGTTTGAGAATACTAGTACATTCTAAATTAATATATTAGCTTCCTTGTTCATGTTTAATATATTTCAACTTTGTTATGGTAAATTAATATATTTACGTGTTCGATCGACAATTTGACAATATGATATTTATATTCCGCGACATCTGCAATCAAAATTAAATACATATTCAGTGACCCTCTTTTTATTGTCACAAAATAAAATCATTAGTGACGTTTTTAAACCGTCACCAAAATATTTGTTAGGAGGATTATCAAACGTCACGAAATACACTTTTCGTGACGTGTAAACACTGTCACGAAAGGATGTCACGTGACCTCTCATTTCCTGTTCAAGGTCTTTCCGTGACATTCTATAACCGTCACGAAATCATTTTTCATGACGGTTTATGAACGTCGTGGAAGTCCATGTCATTCATGAGGCTAATAAACCGTCACGTGTGCTAATTTTTGTGACGTTTTTTAAACGTCTCGTATACCTTTCGTGATGGGCGTATACGTGACGGCGTTAAAAACGTCACGAAAGATTTTTGTGACGCCAGAAAAACGTCACGGTAGACCGAATTTCTAGTAGTGAGTGCAAAGCCGGAAGTTTCAATATGAACGAAGAAGAAGATTTGTAACGAAGTCAGAAGTTTTAGTCTGAGCCAAAAGTTTTAGATTCAACTTGAATAACGATGATGAGTTGCGAAGCTGAAAGTTTAAGTTTAAGCTTCTTTAGTGATTCGGTTTGAAGAAGAAGATTTGTAAAAGTTATAAATTTTAGATTGTGTAGCTGTTTGACGTGAAGAAAAACATTCGTAGAAATTAGAATTTTCAGATTTGGAAAATGACAAAGAAATGAGAGGAAACATGCAAAATCTGAAACAAAATAGAGAATGGTAAATTTGGAATTAAAAAAGGAAAAATAATATTTCAAATAATTTTACCATTTTTGTAAAATCCAAAACCTCTTGCTATATTTATAAGAGGTTATAAAAATTGGAGTAATAAAATTCAATAATGTATATCAAACATAGATTAGATAGAGTTTTGCAAATATTGTTAAAGATATAGCTACTCAATGCAATTTCCCTTTTAATTTCAATATAGTCATTGGTTCATATATTATATAATTGTTGTTGAACATAGTATTTAGATTGAAGTAGTGTCGAGTTGATTAACAATGACGATGTTATGTAGCGAATTCACCTGTACTAGAATCGCACATGAACCTTTGCAAGGAAAAATAAATTTTTTTAACCTCTCAGTTATGTTGACACGGACATTAAATTTTGTTATTATTCTTAAAACTTTGGCTAAACTTACTATATTTTTTAGTTATCTAGCACACATGACAAGTTATTTGTCGACATAACAGATGTTTAACTAAAAAATGATGTCATACCAAACATAACTCAAATGGTTAAAGCAGCTATCTATAACTGAAAGATTATAAATTCAAACCCCTACTCCCACAATTTTTTAAAAAAAAAACTACAAGAAATGATATTTTATTTTAATAATATAGACGTTTTTGCTTAAATGGAATGATTAAATTTATTAAAATCAATTATACTTAAAACTTTTTTTAAAAAATCATTAATTCTACCATCATCAAACACACCATTCGAATATTTGATACTGTATGGATTTTCTTCACGTCCCTCCCTCGTTTTTCTCTCTTTTCTAAATCATATTTTTCACTTTAACTCCTCTTTTTTTTTCCCTCTCTCTCTTCTTTTCTTAATTTTGGATCGGAAAAAATATGTTTATTTATTTATTCAATTTATATTAATTGATTAAATTAATCAAACTTTTAAATCTATATTAATCAAAATTAATTAAAATATTTAAATTAAATTTGTAATCAATCAGATATATTAAATTAACATAATTAATTTTTTCGATTGTAATAAATTAATTGGTTAAAATATATACTTAACTAATTTTTATTTATAAAGATATATTAGATGAATGCAATTAAAGTATTTTGTTGAAAATTTTAATTAATTAATAATATATTAAATTATCAAACTATTTATTTTAATTAGTTAAATTAATTTAGCGTTAGGATTTATTTTTTAATTATAATTAATAATTCAAAAATCGTTCATACATTACTAATAATCAATTAAATTGTACTTATAACTAGGGTGTGGATTTGAAATTGTTTGACCTTCAACATAAGTTATGCTACTTTAACTAGTTGAATTATGTTCAAATTGACTATTATTTCACATTTATGGTAAGAATTCTAAAGTTCGAATGATATGATATGGACAATAATGAAATTTGTAAAGATACAAGGACTACTTTCAAATTCACGTCAATATATAAGGACTAAAAATGTAAATAAACTTGTAAAATAATTTTGAGGGAGGATATAAAATATGTTAACCTAGGTATAGATTAGAGCATAATTATCATGCATTAAATGTGTCATATTTTCTTTCTTTCTTTTTTCTGTTTTCAAGAATATGTACTCTTTAAAAATGAAAACAAAAAAATGATTTTTTACTTTAGATTATTGGAATTTCGTTATATAATAAAAATAGACGTTATTTTTGGAATTTTAAATAGAACTCTTTTAAAAAATTATTTTGGCAGCGCTAGAAGTTTCTAATAAATAGATATTTTTCAGGGGTTTATTTAGAAATTTTGTATACCTATAGTAATAATATGCTCATTCCTTGGATTAAAAATAAGGGAAAAAAAAGAGAAAAAATAATATACTATTTTTCTTTTCTAAGAAGAATTGGACCAACGTAAATGACAGAAAGTGCCTCGACTGAAGCCCATTGGGCCTGTTGTCACTATAAACATGAGAGTGAAGTCCATATTTACATCACTCTTAAGGAAATTTGAGCTTTTGAGAAATTTAGGGTCCGTCTGTAAGTTCTTTTTGTTTCCAATTTTTTTTAAGAAATCTARACATTTTGTAACTAATTTTTTTTTAGAATATTTTATAGAAATTTTGGAAACTAAAATAATTTTTTTTTATTTTCAATTTATTCCAAAACATAAATAAAAAATATTGTTTTATCATATTTGAATTCATGGATATTGGAGCCATGCAATTCATTTTTTATTTATTAAAAATGAAGAAATAGCAATGTTACCAAACAGACCCATATTATTCTAATTCTAATCACAATCCATAATAATTTTTTAGATCTATTAGATTGAAACTTCATTAATAATTAAATATTTTAACAAATTAATTAAATCTTTAAGATTCTAAAAGCACTTTAAAAAAAATCAACAACCCACAGCTCAATCCTCCATCAAAGCTTAATATCAAATTTTACATAAAATTGTCCAT